AGATGGTGAGGACACGCGCTACCAATCAGGATGGAGACCACCAGTACCAACAATTGTGGCCACTAGAGGCCGAGGACGCGGTCGAGGTTGCGGTATGGGTTGAGGTGTAGCCCGTACAGCAGCTAGGGCTGCACCTACAGATCCACCAGCTGCACCAGTTCAGGATCAGGTCCCAGTTGTGGATGCTCCAACAACACCAACTCAGGCACCAGCTGTGCCCATTGTGATTTCGGGTCTTCAGGAGGCCCTGGCTCAGATTCTATCAGTATGCACTAGCCTAGCTCAGGCGGTTTCAGTTGCTACAGCCGCAACTATTCTCAGGCCGGGGGAGGAACTCAGACTCCCACTGCTCGCACACCTGAACAGGTCGTGTAGGGACTTCAGACACCGGGGGCACATGCAGCCCAGCCGGTTACAGCTGCTTAGGACTATATAGCTCCTGCCATGCCAGAGGACGAGCAACGCAAGTTGGAGAGGTTAGGTAGACTTCAGTCTTCGACTTACAGTGGTGCCGAGGGCGAGGATGCCTAGGGTTTCTTGGACAAGTATCAGGGGATTCTTCGTACAGCGGGTATTCTGGAGACCAGCGGGGTCGCTTTCACTACATTTCAGTTTTCTGGAGCTGCTTTCACTTGGTGGGAGGCTTATGAGAGGCGTAGGCCTGTTGGTGCAGCACCCCTTACCTGGCAGCAGTTCTCCGTTCTCTTTTTGGAGAAGTATGTGCCACAGTCTCGTAGAGAGGAGCTACGCAGGCAGTTTGAGTGGTTGTGTTAGGGAGATTTAACTGTGATGCAGTATGAGATGAGGTTCTCAGATTTATCTCGTTATGCTGTTTGGTTGGTTTCGACAAATAGAGAGAGGATCAGGAGTTTCGTTAATGGCCTCACTTATCAGCTTCGTATTCTTATGACCAAGGAGAGGGTGTCTGGTGCTACTTTTGAGGAGGTTGTAGACATTGCTGGTGAGATTGAGTCAGTTCGTCACCAGGAGCGAGATGAGAGGGAGGCCAATAGGCCTCGAGGATCTGGTAGTTATGGTGGTGCTCCTTCGAGGGGTCAGTTTCGGCACGGCAGAGGTCGTCCATTCAGACATGCTCAGACAGCTTGCCCAGGTTCTAGTTGGTTGGTTTGAGCTGGGTGAGGCTAGACTATTGGGTACACACTTGGTGCAGGATGCTTTAGACAAGGTGAAGGTGATTCAGGAGAGGTTTTGTACAGCGCAGTCGAGACAAAAGAGTTATGCTAACAGGAAGGTTCGGGATGTGTCTTATATGATTGGCGAGAAGGTTCTGTTAAAGGTTTCGCCCATGAAAGGTGTTATGAGATTGAGAAGAAAGGCAAATTGAGTACTCGGTTCATTGGGCCTTTTGAGGTGCTTCTGAGGATTGGGGAGGTGGTTTATGAGCTTGCTTTGCCACCCAGCTTGTCGAATGTGCATCCGGTATTTCATGTTTCTATGCTCCAGAAGTATATTGGGGATCCGTTTCATGTTTTGGATTTTAGCACAGTTCAGTTAGATGATGATTTGACTTTTGATGTGGAGCCAGTAGCTATTTTAGAGCGTCGGGTTCGGAAGTTGAGGTCGAAGGATATAACTTCAGTGAAACTATAGTGGAAATGTCGGCCCATGGAGAAGGCTACCTGGGAGACCGAGCGGGAGATGCAGAGCAGATATCCTCACCTATTTGAGGCTTCCGGTATGGTTCTTGACCCGTTCGAGGACGAACGTTTGTTTAAGAGGGGGAGGATGTAACGACCCGGCCGGTCGTTTTATGATTTACCGCTCTGTTTCCCCCATTTTTGATTCTTATTGCCTTGTTCAGCTATATTTTATACTATCGGGTTGGGTGACTCGGGTTCGGAGAGATTTTGGTAAGGTTTGAGACACTTAGTCTCTTTTAAATAAGCTTAAGTTGTAAAAGTCAACCGGATGTTGACTTATCTGATAAAGGGCTCGGAAGTGAGTTCCGATGGTTCGAATAGCTTCGAGAGGTGATTTGAGACTTAGGAGCGTGATCGGAATATGTTTTGGAGGTGCAGAGTAGATTTAGGCTTGAATTGACAAAATTGAAATTTTGGCGTTTTCCAGTTGGTAGGTGAGATTTTGATATGGCGGTCGGAATGGAATTCTGGGAGTTGCAGTAGGTCTGTTGTGTCATTTGGGATGTGTGTGCAAAATTTCAGATCATTCGGATGTGGTTTGATAGACTTTTTTATCGAAAGCCGAATTTGGTATATTTTGGAATTCTTAGGCTTGAATTCGATGCAAATTTGGTGTTTTGATGTTGTTTTGAGCATTCCGAAGGTTGGAATAAGTTTGAATGATGTTATGGGATATGTTGGCATATTTGGTTGAGGTCCGGTGAGTTTCGGGTTGTTAAACGAATCATTTTAAGTTGAGAAAAATTGCAGAAAATCTGCTATGAGTGTTGCCGACTTTTGGCCTTCACGTTCGTAAGTGGGCCCTCGCGTTCGCGAAGGGTTAGGATGAGAGGCTGGAGGTTTGACCTTCGCATTCGCAATGGAGGTCCTGTATTCGCGAAGGGCTGGGGCTAGTGAGCTACGCGTTCGCAAGAGGGAAGCCGCGTTCGCGATGGGTTATGAAGCTGAGTCTTCACATTCGCGTAGAGGGCGTCGCATTCGCGAAGAAGGAATAAGTGGTCAATGCCAGGTTGTGCTTCGCAAATGCAAGGTGTTGAATGCGTTCGCGATGAAGGATTTTAAGTGCTGGGCAGAATGTTTAAAAGACCCATTTCCGCGATTTTGGGTCTAAGTTCCTCCATTTTTGGGCGATTTTGAAGCTTTTTGAAGGGGATTGAAGAGGGAATCAAGGGGGAATACTTGGAGGTAAGATTTATGAACTTAATACTCAATCCTAATGTGTTCTACCTAATTAATCATGGAATTTGTAGAATTTAAGCCTAAATATTGAAGAACTAGGGCTTGTAATTGGAGACTTAGAATTTCGAATTTGAGGGGTCGTTTGTGGTTGGATTTTGGTGCTTTTCATATGAATGAACTCGGGGAGTGATAAGGAGTCTATTGATGTAATTTTTATCGGATTCCGAGATGTGGGCCTAGGGGTCGGGTTTGGCCAATTTCGGGATTTGTGTTGTAATTTGATTTCGTTCGAGTGGGCTTTGTTCCCTTAGCATATTTTGATGGTTTTGCACTGATTTTGGTTAGATTTGGAGCATTCGGAGACCGATTCGAGAGGCAAGGGCATCGCGGGCTAGAGTTTGGACCAGATAGAGGTGAGTCATGATTGTAAATGTTATCCTAAGGGTATGAAACCCCCAATTTCACATCGTTGTGCTATATTAAGGTGATGCACATGCTAGATGACGAGTGTGGAGTTGTACACTATTGGGGATTGTGACTTTGTCTGTCCCGAATGACTGTTTTACTGCGTATTTGATTGAAATCTATTTTCTATCACCATGTTTTGGGTTGAATGTCATATTTGGGCTTCGTGCCAACTGTTTTGGACCCTTAGGGGATTTTTACTACTATTCCTCATTGTTTTGACTTTATACTTGTACTCAGTCATGCTATATTCTATTATTTTTATAACTCAGCCATGTTTATACTGTTTTGACATCTTAAATGATATTTTGAGCTAAGCATCATATTTTACTATGCCCGAGTGGCGTTTAGAGATTTCTGACTGAGTAGGGTCAAGGGCTTGTGTTATGAAGTTATTATGGGATCGAGTTGAGTGCCGTAGCGGTACTGAGCTAATTCATGATTATGAGGCCGAGAGCCTGAGTTGTACGCCACAAGGTGGCTTGATATGAGATCGAGAGCCTATTGATTATGCCACAAGATGGCTTGATATTGCGCTTGGGCCGTAAGGGGTACCTCCTGAAGTTTGTACACCTCCAGCGAGCGCGGGTACCCAATGTGATATGTGATATAGCCCGAGGGGCTGATGTTGTTCCATGTTATTTCCAAAGAGGCTGAGTTTCTGTTGATATTGTGCCCGAGAGGCTGATTTTATGTGTTTATCTTTTCTCGCTGCCTTTCCTTCACTTGTTTAACTGTTAAAAGATGTTTTAAAGAAGTTTTCACTGAACTGAGGTGTTTTTACTAGTTTTTTTCACCATTCTATTGCATTGCATTGATTTTATACTGCCTCTTTGTAGCATTTTGGTGTGTTTTTATGTGTTTTCTTATCGCTCAGACTTAATAACTTACTTCATCCGAAAGATTAGAGGCAGGATCCACAAGCTCGGTAAAGAATGATTTTGGAATATCAATTCCAGCTAATCTGAATGGATTGGAATTATATTTACTGGCATCCGTCTCCAACCACTCTATAAATCTTTGCATCAAACCACTGTCTTGATTAACATAATTGAAGAGACACCTTCGTGTAGTCTTTCCTACTTTCTAATCTTTCCCCTTTCGCTTTGGTTTAGGAATGACGTAAGGAGATCTCAACCAAATACTCTCCACACGAATCTTTTTTCCTTTTTTATCTGGTTTTCTTTCTGCTTGCTCTTCCTGCTGTTCCGGCACAGCTAACTGCTGCTGCTCAGCAGCAGGGGAAGATTCCACATCCATGGTGGCAGATACTTGACCAACTTCCTATTCACTACAAAAAAATAGCGTTTAGCAACGAATTTTAGCGACAAGCCATATTCTGTAGCTAAATAACGACGGATTAGTGACGGATTATATAGTTTGTCGCCAAATAAGCTAAAAAAGATTTAGTATGAAATATAGCGATGAATTAGTGACAAATATTTATATCCGTCGCTAAAATTTGGCGCTAAAAATTGGCGCCTTTATTTTACCTACCAATTTAGCGACAAAAATGGGGCGACAAAATTATTAAAATATAGTAACAGAGTTAACGACAGAAGTCTGTCGCTACCTTTATTTTACTTAGAAAAAAGTTCCAAAATTAGTTGCGACGGAAATTTTGTTGCTAGATTCTTAAAAATAAATTTTCCAAGTTATTATTAGCGACAGAAATGTATCCGTAGCTATTTTCGTTGCTAGTTTTTTAAGTTTATCTAGGGCACAAATCTTCCTACAGACTCATTCTCTCCTCTCTATCAAAGTCGCTATTTTTTTTTACCAACGAACGAAATTCCAATCTGCAGCACCAAAGCTTAAAAGCAAGGTAGTAAATGCTTGAACATTTTTACCATCTATCAAAGAGGCAATAGTAGACATAGTAACAAAATTCCAAAATAGAAACAGAAGAAAAAAATGCGACGACAGCAACCAAACTTCACAACAATTTTTGGAAGAATTTTATGATTGTAACAACCGACCAACAAGGGTCAAGAGGTTGCCGGAAAATTAAAAGTCACTGAACCTCCATTCTTTTGGCCAGATCATCACATTTCTGGCATGAAAATAATAAAATGACCAAACGATATCAAGGTGAAGTTGCTTTGACAACAAATAGCGCTGAAACAGTGACCAAATAGAGGCTCAACGTGTCGCTGGAGTTTGAGTTTTGACTGGTCAGATCTAGTCGTTTCCATCTAGATTTAGCCATTCAGCCATCCAGATCTAGTTGAAAGCCATTATTTTTACTATTTTTGCACTTTGTTTGCACCATTACTCTTATCTTTGTTCAGGTAAACATTCTCTTTTCTATTTTATTTTTTCTTTCTCTTGAGGAATTTTGATATAGTAACTTGATTTTCATACTTTTGGGTCAATAATAAATTGATATGATTTTAGGGTTTAGATTTCAGTATTTTTTTAGGGATTTACGTTACTAATAAATTGATAAGATATGTTCCAGCAAGAACTGGTTTTTACATCCTTGATTTTATGGGAAAAGTAAAAGTTGTATTGAAAATTATAGTTTTTACATCCTTGATTTTATGGGAAAAGTAAAAGTTGTATTGAAAATTATAGTTTTTACATCCTTGATGTTAGCTATGTGTTTTAGTTTTTATAAAGAAAATGGGAGTTCAAAGATTTGTATTCTATTGAGTATTTCAAAGACCGTATGAAAAATGTGTCTATGGTAATGAAAATAATGAAGTGCAGTAGCTAAAGTAACAGAATGAGGGAGAAGAATAATGTTTATTCTGCCATTCTCACTATTCTTGTGTTAGTTACTCTACAAAGTGTATATTGTGACAATTCTTATCGATATTACACTTGGAAAATCATTTATGGAGACATTTAACCTTTCGGCGTCAAACAACATATAAATCTCATTCTTTAAATGTATGTTTGTTGAAATTTCATGGATTCTTATTGATGTGATTTTAACACTATATTTTTGACAATGTTGGTGGCAGGGAATCTTGATTAATGGGCAGTATCCAGGGCCACAGATTGACTGTGTTACAAATGACAATTTGATTATCAGTGTCTACAACTACTTGAATGAGCCTTTCCTCATTTCTTGGTATGACTTATAATTCTGATTGTCATGTGCATTCCTTTATGTTTTATACAATTATTCTTGCAGAGTAAAATGATTTAGAAGTTTTTAGTGCTCTGTTATTTAGTTAATTTGATTGCTGGATTTTAGTACGCAGTGTAAAATAGGGGTAAAACTGATGTAAAAGAAATTTTGAGCTTAATAGCCTAAGAAGTATATGAAGAGTCCAACTACAGAGAATATGTCACACTATTATCACGGCTTCTGCATCTGATAGAAGTTCTAATTGTTAGATTATTGCTTCTATTACAGTAAATCACTTAAAATTCCTGGAGATCAAATATATGTGTACCTTTATATGCAAAACTTCAAGAATTTCCTGAAGATCACAAGCTATCAGGTAGGTGAAAGCTTTTGTCGAATTCAATTGATATGATTTATGTTGTCCTTGATTAAATCATAGTAAATTCAAGTTATCCCAATTCATTGTTAATACCAATTGAAGCTGATAAAAGTACTCGATGAATTGAAGATGCTATCCTTAAAGTGCTCAAGTAAAAAGATAAGTAGACCTCTTAACTCACTTATTTATAGTGCAAAGGCTTGCTCATTAGGTGTTATCTTCCAGGCTGAAGCCTATTCCACCGTATATCGAGCCTCTGATCCTGAAACATCTTAAATTACGTCAAGGGTGGGCTATATACATGAATATGCGATTTTAGATTTTAAGGTCGTAGAACTGTTAAGTGGTTTTAGTGGATATGAAAAAAATAACAATGTAGAAATAGAAACACGAAATCTTCTTCACCTGATACAAAATCTCTCAGTTATTTTTACGTTTATTTGGATAGTCCGAACAATTAATTGACTTTCTTCTTTCTTTTTTGATAGGTATATTATAATACCAATCATGAACCAAATGTAGTGTGCATATTTACTTTGAGCTGAATACTTTTATTAACGATACCAAGAATCTCTTACGTGTAGCTACTATATCTTAGCATCAGCAAGGCATTGCCTAAATTTTGGTGTTTAGTTCTATCTACTATTGAATCTTAAGTATGTCCTACTTTATGCATGCATCCAAGTTTCAAGTTAGTATCATATATACGTTTTCTTAACCTAATACTATTTTCCGTTAGCCCTTGGGCCATTAGCTTCCTGGAATCTTATACTCAACTTTAGTATGTGAATTTCTGTTAATTAATTTCTTTCTCAATTTGTTTCAGGCCTTATTAGTTATCACTCATTGCTTCGCTGGTGTCACATAGATAATGGAACACCTAAACCATCATATAAATGGTGTAGGGTTTTGCTCAAAGTTAGTGGCGAAGCTCGTGCAAGAGGTCATGCACAAAACGTTGACCCCAATGTAAGAAGAGGAAAGTTTCTAGGAGATGATAACATTTTAGAAAATTTATCTGCACGCCCACCATTTATGGAAATACTGTCAGCAGAATTCTCTGAAAGAGTCGACGTTCCACCATTTATGGCAAGGATTCAGGTAAGCATCTTTTTAAGTCTCAATTTAAACAATCCAAGCCTTCTTATTTCATCTGGATGTTCATTTAAGCTACCATAAGTGGTATAAGCTAACTTCCCTTCTTTCTAACATGATTGGTACTAGTCTTCCAAAAAGAAAAAAAGTTAAGAAAACATGAATAAGAAAGTTGTTGTTTGCTAATATTTTGGCATTATTGTATCGGAAATATTTTAATAAGAAAACAGAAATATTTTGGCATTATTGTATCATATATTTTGGTATTATTGTGTCATATATTTTGGCAACGCATATGGTGTGAGGTTGCATCAGTTTTCAACATTTTCTTCTATATTGAGACGAAAATGCATTAATTCTTTATGCGATTGTTTTTGTGAAGGCATGGAAAAGTCTCGAATTTTTGGTGTTGGACAGTGAATAATGTCAGAACACCTACTGCTTTCATATTCTTAACTTGAAGTTTATACTTGGAGATGCTTCAAAAGTTCAAATTATCTTCCAGAATATGCTCCATTTGTACTTGTTTTCTTTTTAAATGAGGTTGATGTGTGTCACTGGAGGTTGGAAGCCTAGTTGCTTCCTCTTTAGATACAAAGATAAAAACTCGTTTTGATTCCTGGAGCATTTATAGGGTGAGGCAATGTTATATTCAGATAAATAAGTAGACAAATAAAGTTAGCATTTTCAACTAGCCTATCCAAAAACTTATAGAAGCTTTCTCACTTTTATCTGCATTTTTCTACTTAAGTTGCTTCTTTTTTTCTATGTTATTTTTCAATCTCATTTTTATACAAACGTCTTTTTTCTAATCTTTTGAATTGAATATATTTTGCATAGGTTGTTAAAAAGGGTCGAGATCCAACATCAAGTGAGATATATTTGCACGCCCATACACATGGTAATTATGGAAAATCTTTTGTTGGTGAGAAATTTTGAATCATACATGTAAGTTAACTTTTTAAATAATTTTATTGAATTTACTTTCATATCTTTTTCATTTTGTAAATTGAATACTCAATATTTTTTAATGTTTCAATTTCACTAATTATTAACTTTCTATAGGAAAAATATCAGGAAATATTACAACAACAAACACAGAGTCAATATGATATTGATAACTTTGATGTGGCAACTACAGTTCCTACCTCTTCTACTGCTGCTAACTTTGATGAGGTTCATGCATTGGGTTCTGATGATGACCATGACTCTCCAGCCTTGCATAGTTAGCCTATTTTGTTTAGACTTTATTGTTGGTACTTTTGGGTATTTTGTACTTAACGACACAGTTATAAGCATTATGCTATATATTTTGGATCTTGTTGAATATTAATTTATATTAATATCAATCACTTTTAATTAAGTGTATTTAATAGCACTTTTATAATATGCTTGAACATGGTACATTTAAAATAATAAATAAATAATAAAATTAAAAAAATTAGCGACAAATATTTTTCGTAGCTAAAATTAATGCATAAAATTAAATCTTGCGACAGATTGACGACAAAAGATTTTTATTGCTAAAAGCAGGATGAACTAGCGACGGATTCTTTCGTTGCTAATAAGAACAAACGACGAAATTTATTATGAATTGTAGCGACAAAATTAGTTAAAATAGCGACGAAACGAAGTAAAATAGCGACGGTTTTTTCGGTCGCTAAACTTTGCTACGGATATATTGCCTCGCGAATCCGTCGCTAGATTCGCGACGGTTTTGTATTTTTCGTCGCTATGAGCTTAGATACGAACATTTTAGAGACCAACTTGATTCCGTCGCTAAATCGTCCCTAAATTGGTTTAGCGACAGAAATAAGATGTTTAGCAACGGAATACGTCCGTCGCTAAATGCTGTATTTTTTGTAGTGATTGTTCATGATGTTCTTGTCTCTCTTCATCAACAACAACAACAACAACATAATTACCTTCTGAACCAGTCCCTTATGTACTACCTAACGAAAGTAAACATAAATTGAATTTGGGGATATCACTGGTGTCATATAAAATATTAGGAGAACTGGACATCTTCCTTATCTTAGTATTTGGAAGAAGTTATGATGCATCAGATGAGATATGCAAAAACAAGAAAAATATAAATATAAATAGAACTGATACAAAAAAACATTCGGCAAAAAAAAATACCTTGTAATCGAATTGCAAAAAATAACTACCTGGTCTAAGTGTTGAGACACAGATGGTGTTTGCATTCTAACAGATCCACTTCCTTTATCTTCAGATACGCCTATATCTTCATGCAAAAAAAACTACATAATACTGACTAAATTTTATAAAATAATACAAACACACTTCACACTTATCTGTGAGCCAACATGTGTGAATAGATGTATTTCTCCTTTTTCATATAGTCGAACAAGCTCACCAAATTCTTTTTGAGCTGCATTGAGTCTTTTTGAATAATCATTCAAAAACATAAAAGGAAAACAAAGTATGTAAAATTTCAACTGTAAAAAATATACTTGGATCAAATATAATAAATTCATGATCTATAGAATACCTTGACGTTTGTCTTCCGCTGTGGTTTCGCCAGGCTGGATGCCTTTGTCGATATCAGCAGTTCCAGCTTCATTCAACTGTGCACCAACGTCGATGAGCATTGGAGTATTCTCTGGAAGGTTTTTCTCAAATCTATCTTCATTCAACTCAGCATCATCAGAGAGTTTTTGAGTTGTATCAATTGAAGCAAAACTATTTTTAACTTTCACTACATATTCATAAATAGGGGGGGGTGGGGTGA